AAACACTTTATATCTGGATACATCAAGTGGCTTCTGTTATGCTGTCTGACCATTGGTGGTCCAGATACCATTACATTAGATTGGAAAAATATTCAGGTTATTAAATATTATGAATGACTGTGAATTCAAATACATCATTTCAACATGTAAGTATCAATAACATTTCAAAGTCAAATTTAGACCTGAATGGTCTTTGTTTTTCTCCAACAACAAAGACCATCTTCTATACTTTTTTCAGTCTTTAAAATAATTTTTAGAATGATGTTCAGATAAGCTTTCAGTAGATATCTTCTGCTTTTTCTGCATAAAAATGGTCACTGTGATTACACATAATCATTATTTGTGTACTTGATATTACTGAAAGATTGTTTGCCTATAGTAGGAAAGGAAGATCAGTGTCAATCAATATTAGAAAACAGTTTAACCCTTAATGCATTATATGCTCCCCCATTTCTCCTAAATGATCCATAAAGATCATTTGGTTCTGTGTTTACCACTAGGGAACAAGTACTGCTGTCATAACACTGACAGATAATCAAGATTATATTCAAAACAAAGCATGGGGGACTGACTGACTCTTGGAGTCTACATGACCCCATTTGGGCAAAGAGGTCCATTCAAGAAACAACTACCCTCAGCAAAATCAAATAATTTACTTCTACAGTTTTTCAGGAAAAGAAAGTTTGTATTCACAATGTATCACAGCATTTCTCACAAGTCTTTCTCCTTTTGTTTTTTCTCTACTTCTCTCTACTCTACTCGATGTATTATTTACTAATAACAAAGCATACAATGTTTTCTAGGTACCAGATACTACGCACTAGTACATTGGGTTCTTCATTGAATTAACTTATTTAGTCTTCAAAACAACTTTGACAAGGTGTTATTATTTGTCCCATACTATAAATGAAGATATTGAGGCTCAGTGAGGTTTCGATCTGTCTAAGGTCACAGAGCAAACAGAGGGCAGAGTCAATGATAAGTGCTCTCAAAATCTAGGCAGCGGGCCCTCCCTGGTGGCGCAGTGGGTTACAGCACTGCACTAAGAGGCTTGGGCCACTTCCGCATGAGTTCGATCCCGCCTGCCCCAAGGAGATCCACGTGGCGTGGCAGACCTCTCCTGGCCCGCCCACCTCTCCCCTCAGCAGTGTACTGCATCGATCTGCCTGTTCTGCTCCCCACTCTGTCCCTGGTGAATCCCCTCACCCTCCACATCTCTGGCCTGTACCCCAGCTCTGTATGAATAAATAAGTAAATCTTTTAAAAAAAAATCTAGGCAGCAAATTATAAGATCTCTCAATGCTTTCATCAGCCTACATTTTCATTTTGTTTGATTATTAACTTTTTACTAAAACAACATTCAATTATAACATTATGTAACTTGGCCAGGATACATCACTGTAAATCAGTATCTATCTATCTATCTATCTATCTATCTATCTATCTATCTATCTATCTATCTATCTATCTATCTATCTATCTATCTATCCTACAGTCAGTCTTCCCATAAACATCCAATTCTATCCTCTCTTTAGTACTTCCCTTACCCATTTCCCCTTTCTCTTAGTCAATCTGAACTCTCCATGGGGAAGATATCCAAGAGGGGAGCGGCTGTTGTTTTGTTTTGTTTTTCCCTGCTAGAAAGAAATTAAGTTTTCCTATGTTTAGTAGCCAAAAAAAATAGCGAAAAGGCCCTCTCTGCTGGCGCAGCGAGTTGCGAGTTAAAGCACAGAAAGCCACTTCCACATGAGTTTGATCCCTTCCTGCCCCGGAGGTGACCACATGGAGAGGCAGACCTCTTCTGACCCGCTTGCTGCTCCCCTCAGCAGTTAACTTCATCGATCTGCCTGTTCTGCCCCCTACTCTATCTCTGGTGAATCCTCTCACTGCCCCTGCAACTCTGGCCTGTACCCCAGTTCTGTATGAATAAATAAATCTTTAAAAAAAAATAGCGAAAAACAATGACACCAATAACAGAATAAATCCAGAGTGAGAACTGAAGCTAAGAACTTAGGAGAACAATTTATGCCTAGCAGACATGCTCCTGAGCTCATCTTTTTTTCTTCATTTCCTTTTCCTTCCCCAGGAATTTTTATTCTTCCTTCCCTTAATGTGGTTGTGAGATGCAATCTCAGAAAGAACATTATTGATTGTTATTGACTATATTAGGAAAGATTTGGATGGTAAATAAACACATACACAAGCATATAGAGAAACAACCAAATTTAGTACTGTCGATGGGGAATTGAATGCTTTTAAAGTCATAGGGTTTCAAATGCTATACAAATCTCAAACAAAAACCAAAAACTGATGTATGTTATGTTGTCTTCAAAGGCAGCATACTCAAGTTTTTTGGTTTGTTTTTGTTTTTGTTTTTGTTTTTTTCAAGAAAAATCAATCAGATAATTTCTCAGTAATTTTTGTTTCCTTGGTTTTTTGTTTTTGTTTTTAATCTTCTAGAATAAGCATTCGAGTTTGGAGAAAAACACAAATAATCCACTTTGTCTCCAAGTCAGACTGATCCCTTATCACACCTCAAGAATGAATTCCCTACCGTATCTCAAATTATAGTATTCCAACACACTTTGATATTCATAATTTGTTTTTTTAATGAATTAAAATTGCTTTTTCAGTTAAAACTAACTTATTTTGGTGATCATAATGTTATATATACAGATGTACAAAGCTGTACACACCTAAAATTTATGCAATACTATAAACCGTGTTATCTTAATACAAATAAAATAAAATAAAACTAATACAGTTAGGAAGTTTTTGAGATTTCTGCTGATTTGTGTGCATGTCTGTGTATGATTGTTAGCCCACACTGGTTTGTAGGAATTAGGACTGAATATGCACCTTTGCTGTTGACATTGAGAAATTTAAGACTGAAAATAAATGAAATTCAGTTTAATGTTAGAGCACAGATGGGATCATAGAAACTTTAAGGATAGATATAATACTGGACTCACAAGTAAATGTGAGGCAATTTCAGAAACTCTAATGAAACTTGTATTCTTCCTTTGGTTTATTGATTTCTGAAGCACAAATAAATAAATCTTAGTTCTAATGATGTGAAAGTTTCTATATTGCTTTCCTCAAATTGATTTTACCAAGGGACAAATGAAGAGAACAATTCTTGGGGGGAATAATGATACCAGACAAAGCTGTAGGGGGGTGTTTCATTCATTGAAAATGTTTAGGGCCATTCTCAAATCAATGAAGTAGGGATTCATTAATTTTATAAGGTAGATTTTTTGAGAGGGGTGAGGTTGACTTTTTGATCTAGTAGTTGACCAAAACATACGTTAGGGGTATCTTAGATCCATACAGTGAAATATTTGTTCTCTTTCAAATCTAGTGCCATGAAATTTACATTATGTTTGACAGTTATATCCACAAGCTGAAATTCCTTTAGTGAACATCAAAACTGTAAAGTAAAATAATGCTATCATGACACTAAATGGCCATAAGAGAATGAATGACCAACTGAATGTCTGTTTTCCCACAATCAGATCATACACACACACACATACACACACACACACACACATCAAAAACAAAAACACCCAAAGCTCAAAGCAACTCTTTTATGATTTTATAAAGATATCAAACAAAGAAAATTTTTCATTTGTAGCATTTTAAAATATTTAAAATATACACTTTCTTTTCAAAGAGATCAAATTAGTAGTGGAAAATAGCATTTACAGTATGCTGTTATTTAACAAGTTAGTAAAAATATAAAAAGTAAAACAGTGTATTTTATAGGCTATCATTGGAAATTTAATGTGAAATAGCTCTACTGACACTTTCAAAAAAGTTCCACTGTCATCATAAAATATTTCCTAATGAAATAAAAGCATACCTAAATTTACCTCAAAACCTATTATTACCTCTCATGTATCTGAATACCCACATATGGAAAAAATTGCTTACAACACATACAATAGCAATAACTTGTACATTAAAGTTCAGTTGTAGTTTTTAATCATGAACATCTATCTATCTATCATTGAAAATTATGATTTTTAGGGTAGGGAAAATTATTTTGAGTAAAAATAAGCATAAAATTTTATACCAGTTTTTTTTTTAGGCTCAATAAAAAAAATAGCTGAAGTTTAAATTGGTCAAGTTGGAAGCTAACATAATCCAAGAATAATATTCCCTTTGGTATAAAGACAACAATGAAGTTTATATTTGTATCAGAGCTGTTGTGTGGCGGAGCAGGCTGTGCATAAACAAAACTCCACAGCCAAGGAAGCACTATTCCCATCACCAGCATTATAGAGTTAAGTATTTATAACAATTTCTATTAGATGGCAGTAATATTTCTGTTAAGTAATGTCACTATTTAGAGAGTTTAGACTGTTAGAAATAACTAGTAAATGACATGAGCATCTTACAACTGCAATTTAAGTTTACGATACACTTGGATGACCAGATTAAAATTAAAGTAACAATGTAATTTCCCAATTTGAAAATATTGGGGGGGGGTGTTCCAATTTTTTCCATTATTTGAATCTCTGTTGATACTTTGTTTCATAAATACCAAAATTATATAAGATTTGATTTTCCTATACATCTTGAAATTTCATCTATATAAAAATTTATACTAAATATGAGTGAAAATATATCAAAATATTAAAGTCAAAACAGAAATCAGTTCTGAGTGGTGAAATTTGGAATCATTAATTTTTGAAAGCCTTTTCATATTTTTAGATATGTTTATCTTAAAATGTTTTAAAGTACATATTAAAATCTTCTTTACCCACCTGAAGAAACATCATTGGTATAACTTTATTGTACAGAATAGCTTATTATACCATACTTCTTTTAAATGGAGTAAAAATTGATGAGATTTCCTTTTATTTCTAAAGCCTCCTTTTTATGTATCCAGGTACTAGAATTTCCCTAGATTTCTTGAAAGCTATATTTTGTTTTACAATTACTGTTTAAGGGTTCAAGTTCAGAACAGGTAGTAGAAAATAAATCCTGTAGACTTATGTATTTGATTCTGGACTTACTCCTTCCCATGAAGGACAGGGGCATACTCTGGGAGCAATATATTCACCACCATTTTTACATTTCTCATAGCAGACAGCTGCAAATAGAAATATAAACAAGTTAAAGACTTAATTTAGTTGTCAAGTCTTATCATTAACCACAAGAAGTTAAAAAGTAGTTAAAAGTCAATGATGAGAGACCTTTTCCCTTAATATTTTATCAAGAACATTCTCCAGTGTCACTACTTATTCATGCAAACCATAATTTTAGTGGTTTTACAAATGTTACCTTGATTAAATGCATTGTAAGTTAAAATATTCCTAATTATTGGGCTGCTTCTTATTTTTTACTTTCATCAATACATTTACCTGCTAATTTTAAGTAACAGTTATATAAAAAGAAAAAAATAAAATGTCTGAATGATGGGGAGTTGCCGCCAACTCAAACATCAGCTTGCCATGTAAGCAGAAGCACCCCAATTGGTAGACTTGAATTGGTTGGTCTGTGGTGGAGCTAAGAAATAAGTAAGTTTTTAAACTTTCACTTGCCCATTATGTAACACTACAAGGTCAGAACCTCAGAACTTGTCATTTATCCTGGCAAATATAGTGGACAGATTAGAAATACAGTATGCCTCCCTCTGATAAGTAAAATGAATTCAGAGGACTTGGCACTTTAGTGATTCTATTTCAAAAAGATAGTAAGGTGGTAACAAACAAAACTTTAAACAAAAATCAGGAATTTTTGTTGTCTTAAATTCAGCTTTTTATTTCCACGAATGATATAGACACTAACATTGCAAGAATAGATCTATTACGTGTGTTGTTGCATTGTTTCCCTCGCCAACCAGAAGGACAAGAGCAAATGCATTTTCCTCCATTCATATGGGATCACAGATGTCTTAAGTTAAAAGAATGTAATAGCAACTCTTAAATAAACATAATTTTGTGTTTGTTTTACTGGTAGTTAGCAAATATATTTAGAGGTGCCTTACTTTTTTGGCATCTTTTATCAGTGTACCCTTCATGACAGGCACACACATTATTTCTCATGCAGTGGCCACCATTCTTAGAGAGGGTGACAGATAGCTGAAAAACACAAAGCAGCAATCTGTGAATATCACAGTCAATTATTATATGCTACATATTGCATCATGCGCTTGTTATCTATGGGGCTATCAGGCAGAGAAATGTGCTATTAAAATAAAAGATCACAAATGCAAGTCATTAAAACTGTCCTTTCTAAATCATAAAATGCAATGCTTATAGCTATAAGCTGCTGCTAGCATGTTAGCACATTTGAAATATATCGGTGAAGTGTTCCTAAGAAATTGAGTGTTTGGTATTATAGTGCATCTATTATGAACCTTATCTTATGTTTCATCATACTCTGAAGTAAAGAGGGAAATGATCTAGGTAAAACTAAGAAAATAATTCAAAACCTAGCTCAAAGCAAGAATATATTTGTTCTTGTGGAAATTAGAAAACTCTCAATAAGGTGTCATGTGATACTTAGAAAACAATTTTCAGCTAACTTTTGAAGACTTATGAGGTCATGAAACAGAGCTTCTTGTGAATATATGACTTCTTCCTGTCAGTGCTTGGTAAAATATTTTTAGCACTAACTCCTTGGCTTTATTAGTATTATTTAGTGAATAACCTTGAATATTTTATACTAGAATCCTTTATCTATAATTCTGGTCCATGGAATTCAGTTATTTTTTTAATATTTGCTGCTTGATATGATGGTTTTTATTGCTTCATATTTCTCTTACATATGATCATTAAATGCAACTATTTGGAAAAAATATATAGGCAAAGTGGCCTGGAAATTTTTAAATTTTTTTCCCAAACTATAACTAAATGGATTTTTATTTTATAATTGAGAAATAAGTCAAACACTTTTTGGTAACAGAGTTATTGTAGACTGATTCCAGTTTGAATTAGGTCTATCTTTATATAGCATCTTTATTTCAACCACTGTGAGGGCAATTCAACTGATTTCAGATAAGCACACAAATAAAAATAAACAAACCCCATATATATATATATATTTCATATATATATTTCATATATATATATTTCATATATATGTATATATATAAGATCAATATAATGGAATCATTATAACAGATGAATATTTCTATTATTTTAGGCCCTGGCTATGGTTAACACTAAGTTTATTTATTTTTTTTAATAATGAAAACTATTTTTCCTAAAGTCATGTTTTTTTAAAATATTTATTTATTTATGCATATTGAACTGGTGTACAGGCCAGAGGTGCAGGGGCAGTGAGACAGAGCGGGGAGCAGAACAGGCAGATCAATGAATTACGCTGCTGAGGGGAGCATTGGGCGAGACAGGAGAGGTCTCCTGCACCATGTGGGTCACCTCCAAGCCTGGGCTCGAACTCACACTGAGGTGGCAGCGGCTCACTTACAGTGCTGCACCCTAACCTGTTGTGCCACCAGGCAGGGCCCTATTTTTTTCTGGAATTTTATTGTTACTTTTTATTATGGAGAAATGCTCTTATTTTTTGTTTGTTTGTTTCTAGCCTTTTTAAAGTTTAAGATTGTTTCTACTTATTAGCAAGAGCATTCAAGAGAAAAAGGAAATTGGAAGATGTACGTGAGCATCTCTCTAGACACACCCATTAAACCTGTTTTTATTTATAGAATTGTTTAACTCTCATGATGTTTCTAGCTCAATGTCTGTCTTGATTTCTTGAAATTCTATGAGACAATATATACTCCTATTTATTTTTGACTATATTGTACCTAATTTTTCTTGATGGCTTTTGACAGATGTACCATCCTCCTTCCCACCACTAGGACTCATAAGGAGATGTGCTCTCATAATCATGTTTCTATTTCTTCTGCCTCTTCTGTAAATTGTGAAAACTGTATTTCTATTGTTAAGAGTAGCTAGCCATGTGCTGATGTATGTTTAAGTGGTCTGCCTCACATTAGCTATTTAGTTCATACTTGAAAATCAGGAAGTCTGAAGTCTAGAGACTTTCAGTAAATTTCCATAATTCATGGAAGGTAAGAACTACAACGTTGTAGAGACTAATTACAATATCTGCTAACATGATATATGTTCCATAGGTAATTTTTAGTTCAATTTAATAATTTAGAGATCTCCCTCCTTTCCAAGTTACATGGTTGGCATATAAATTTTAGAGAACTTACTATGATTTACATCTACTACAACATGAGAAATATAAGGTTTTCATTTCCCTCTTTACATTCTCTACTGGAAACTATCCCATTAATTTGCAAACATTGGTTTAGACTTAGTCTCCTAATGTTCAATATTTGTCTTAACAGTCTTTATTGTTTTTCCATTTTCTAAAATGGTTCCTTCAAGGCAAATCTGAATTAGAGGAACTCATTTCCTATGCCCGCATATCTAATATTACAGTAATGGTTTCTTCTCTGCCTGAGTGGTAACCTACAAAAGCTAGCCAATTCCCAAATAAGAGGGTTAATTCAAAGTGTAACATAACAAGGATAGTATATGTTTCTTTCTTTTTTTTTCTTTTAATATTTATTTATTTATGCTTACAGAATTGGGGTACAGGTGAGAGGAGTGGTGGGTGAAAGGATTCACCACAGACAGAGTGGGGAACAGAACAGGCAGATTAACAAAGTACACTGCTGAGGGTAATAGCAGGCAGGTCAGAAGAGGTCTGCTGCGCCATGTGGGTCAGCTCCCCCCTAGTAGGGGATCGAACTCATGCTGCAGGGGCTTGGGAGAGCTTCATAATACAGTGCTTTAACCCATTGTACCAGCCGGGAGAGCCCAGTATATGTTTTAGGAATTAAATTCTACCATGTCCTGACATGTTCTTATTAAAAAATAGCTCTACATTTTGCTCAAGCTCAAAAATACAAAAATGCAGAAAATATATTTTATATTTCCTTTATCACTATTAACTCATGCTTATACATCAGTATCAGGATATGTCCAATATTATGAAATACTTAACTGTATAAAAGTGTTAAAATAGGCCATGAAGGGGGGAACAATGTATTTGACTTGTATGTCTCCATACATCTTGCATAGTGTTGCACGTAAGAGTCTTCATAAACTTTTAATGAAATTTAAGTCAAAAGAGTGTGAGGTAACAGCAAACATTAGGTTGAGTATAAATCAAATTTTTATTGTAAGCAACAAAAATTATGCCATTTAATATAATCAATTGCAAAAGAGAACTTTGCTTATTTGTGAATCCCACAAAACTGTAAGGACAAATGCCAAGGTTGGAAGCCCAATATGCTGAATAAATGTAGCTGCTTTTCACAGTTACTCAGATATGTTTACATGACTGATCTGTTGGGCAAAACCTACAATCTCAGAAGAAAAAGAAAAATAGCATCTTTCTCTTTGAAATAATGTGTCTCTTTGTGTTCACTCTGAGTTCTGTTTAGGTCTAAATTTTCCTTTGCTTTTTTTTTTTTTTTTTTTAAGGAAAGAATAATTACCATTCTGACATCGTGCACCAAAGAATCCATTTAGACACAGGCCAGTGTTGGGCTTATTACAGGAACCACCATTAAGGCAAAGGGGGTCACACAAAGCTAATGAACAGCAGGAGGGAAAGAGTTCATAAAAGTTTTATTATTTAAAAAATGAAAGCTACCCAGAGTACCAAAATAGTGCATGATGAAATAGTTCATTTTTTACTGCAATTAAAACCCACAACCTATAATTAATTAGACTTTGCTAAAAATAAGAGAATGGAATAACTGGAAAAATAGCATTGGAAGTATGTTCATTAAGTTTACAAATAACAAGCTAAGAATGTGGGGATTATGATTAAAATTTGGAGTACTCTCAGGAAACTAAAAAAAAAAAATGATTGGAAGTTGGAAGACATTTCAACAGCACTAGCCAGATTGTCTATGATATGCTCAAAGATATGTGGCCTTTTTGTTATCCTTTCCAATTCAAATAGGAACTCTGCACTCAAATCCTAGCCAGGTCACTCAAACACGGTTTGCTTCTTTGCCTTTGTTCTATTTTGAAAGACATCCAAATTACATTTTTTTTAACCTACATTTTGCCCATTCTCCAAGTTCTACCTCAAATATTATTTTTCTCATAACTGCACTTCCCAGAATTGATTTCTCCTTTCTGATTTCAAGGAACTATGCATTATTGCATTACTTATTACAACCCAACAAATACCATAATCATTTTTATAACAGTATCTTGTGTGACCTTCACTAGTGATATATACTTGAAATCAGATCCAAATCAAGTTGATTTTTCTTTCCTCTTGCATCAAGTTTCACGGATAGTTAGCAAGCTATAACTGTTGAATTAAAGTTATTTTGAAAAAAAAATCATTAGAGCATAAGATTAGGTTAAATATAGATAATTGTGAATGCTGTACCAAAGAAGTAAGGTTGATACTGTGATAATTAAGTGGAATGATTTATATTGTCTGCTTGGATGCTTAATGTTTAATGAAATAGAAGTGTTGTGAAAAAATCTTGAAAGAGACCTAATAGATGCAACAGAGATATATTGCAATAACGCAAGGGAATTAGGAAAAATATAAAGACATAAATAAAATGATTGGTTGATAAAGGTAACAGTAAAGGTAAAATACACTCTTTTTTTTAGTATGAAAAGAAAAAGAATAGATGGAATACAGGGTTTTAAAAATCTTTTGAAATAAAGACTTCATACAGATATTGTAAGTTTGGTTTCATGTTTCTTGGTGTAAGAACTCTGGTACATTTAAAATTTCTTTTAGCTGATTTTCATTGAAAGTATTTCTGATTTTACCTATACCCCACGTGGGTCCATACCAGCTAGGCTTGCACTGGCAACATCTGGTACAAGACATTCACCTCCATTTTCACAATGCCTGTTACAAACCACTAATATCATAGGATAAAAATAAAAGAAAGGTAAGTTTGGACTGGGTATTACTTTACTAGATCCTAACTACCAGTTATATCCTCTAATATTTAAAACCAGAGTAAAAAATAAAAACAATTTATCCTTTAGTTTTAAGTGATCTCCAGTTCTTACATTTAGTTAGATTTTTTTTTTTTTGGTTTTTTGTTTTTGTTTTTGTTTTTTTTACTAACAGAGATGGGAACATTTAAAAAAATCATTAAGCTAAATAGAGTTGGTTATTTGGGGAAAACTTTTATGAAAGTAATCACAGACAGAAATCCAATGAGATAAATTTATCCACAAATTATCAGATTAGAATTCTTGTTAACTCTAAGAAATGGCCATAGATAGGGTTAAAAGGGAAGCTGATTCTAAGAATGGATTTCTTTTCCTTAGCAGTGTTTGCAGAATGTATGCAGAATGATAACCACTGTACTAACCATGAATGTAAAATTTTTTTCATAGGATTATAGTTAAGGTTTATTTCTTTTAGAATTAAAGTCATCAGATCTTCAAAGAAAAATTTAATTATATTAAACTGCAGGAGATTTTTGCTTACTTCTTTCATACCTTGATCCTACAAAGCCATAAGGACAAGTGCAGAGATTGCCAGCTAAACAAATGCTACCATGGCAACATGGTGGACTGCAGTGTTCTGTCAACAGAGACTATGTTAGTAAGTTATCTCTTAACTTGAAAAAGTCAGTTTATCGTAATGAAGCACAGGCACAAGATATGTTTCTTTTAAAAATACCTTATAATGTACTCAGCTCAACTATAATAGTGAACTTTTAGTATGAAAATTTAGTTCTGTGGAATTGACCATAAGACTTCTTGCTCTGAAAATACTTGCACTAGTTCATAAAAATTTTGGTTACATGGGTGGAAATAGTTGCCCTTAGCTTTCTACTGAGAAGTGAGATTTGGGCTTATATATTCCTTCTCCACAAATAGAACACTTTTATATTTCCATAGCTATTTGCATTTGCTATTGGTCTTAAATATCCATTAGTTCACTTTAATTTGTTAATGTGTACCTTGCCTTATAGTGAAAGTAATGTGATGTGGCTCTCAGATTAATGTGCCATATGTGAAAATGCATTCTTTGATTTTTATAAAGAAATACATAATAATTGTTTCTTCAAAACATTGATTTTAGATATCCCATTGTATAAACCCTATATTACAGATTTTTTTAAAGATTTATTTATTTCTGCATACAGAACTGGGGTACAGGTCAGAGATGTGGAGGGTGAGAGGATTCACCAGAGACAGAGTAGGGGGCAGAACAGGCAGATCAAAGAAGTACACTGCTGAGGGGAGCAGAGGGCAGGTCAGGAGAGGTCTGCCATGCCATGTGGATCACCTCTGGGGCAGGCGGGGGATCAAATTCATGTGGAAGTGGCTTTAGCTTCTTAGTGCTGTGCTTTAACCCCCTGCACCACCTTGGGAGGGCCTCATTACAGATTTAACCAAAGCAATAAAACTATGTGACTCTAGCCATCTTAAAAAGTCATTTTTTAGACTTTTTCTTGCTACTTGTAATTATTAATGTTAATAATTACATCTTCTAGTTATTTGGCACTTACCACTTCCTTGGAACTATGTTTGATGAGTCATTCACTAATCAGGTCTTTTGTTTGAAGTTAATATATTTGTAGAGATAAGGTACCTTAAAACTAAATCTTTAAATGTTATTTCCATATAATCTTTTACAAAAGATTTTTAAAGAAAATATGCTTTTATTTTAGCTCTGTTACTTGATTTTTAATTTGAATCTTCACCTTCATCACAGGTTGCTCCACCATATGCTGGGGGACATTCACAAATGTTAGGCTTAATACATCTTCCATGGTTTTTACAATCAGAATGGCATACAGCTGTATAAAATAAAGTTCACGGTTTAGAAATATCAGCTACCAATTAAAATCCACAATTCATACTGTTAAGGGGAAGGATGTTCTAAAAGAACCTGCAGAGTTTGGTGGACTCTACCCCTACTCCAGCTTTCTTGATCCCACCCCATACTTCAGTGATTGGAAAACTACAACTCCCAGCAGTACCAAGGAGAAAAATGCGAGGACCTAAATAAGGGCGGAGCTAAGCAGGCATTCTGGGACTTTAGGGGATAAGTAGGGAGTGTTTTTCCAACTTTCACTCTGGAGAGGTAGCAGTTTTCTCTCTCTCATGCTCTCCAACCTTGTGACTGGGGGCTAGCAGTGTTAGCTGAGCTGGTAAAATATTACAGTTACTTTGTATCCCTCTCTCTTTGCCTAGGTTGGTTCCTTTTCCTTTCCCCTTTTTAAAATAATAAACCCATAACCCTTTTTGTGTGTGTCTGCAGAAAATTACATTTTGAGTAAGTGGGTGAGGCCCCACAGACAGGCAACCCAAGTCCACTCTGGGCTACCCTGTAACAATACTAATTAATACTGTACCTACCAGTTTGGCAATTGGATACTGTGTAACCAGGTTTACATTTGCAGGTGTTAGGGGCAACGCACTACCTGCTTTTTCCACAGATATGTCTGCAAATGGCTGTCAAAGTCAAGGGGAAAAGGGCTGAATGATTGGAGCAATAATATGTTGCCCATAATCTTAATCATAATTAAAGTAAAATTCTCCAAAATTTGAAAATTCAGACAATAGGGATTTTTACCATGGCATATTTTTCTGATACCATAAAATCCTTTTGGATATGACCCACAGTCACAGGAACCAAAGGTATTTAGGCACTCTACTTCTGGAAAGCAAGGCTGAGATTCATGTTCATCAACAACTTCCTGGCAATTTTTGCCTTAGGGAAAGATGAGAAAAGGTTAGGTATGTCATGAGTACGTAAGATGTAGATATGTAAATAATAATTTTTTATCATTTACTAATATAAAATATGCACAAATCTAATGACTGCAGTACTAAGTACCCTAAGAAATTTTAGTGTATTGCTTAGGCTACCATAAAGCAATAATATTCCTGCTTCTTTTATACCAATGCTTAAATCATTATATGTGTTTGTTTTTGATGTGCAGTGTTAGTAATACATATAACATCTATGGTGTTTTGCCCTATATAAAGAGAACTGATGTAGGTACTTGTAGACATATGACAGATGATTAGTACAGTGCATTACTAAAGATGTATTTTCTCTTAATGCATTTTCATTTCCCTAGCTTACTTCATAGTAAGAATACAGCACATAATATATATAACATATGTGTTGACCTGAATGTTGAAATTATTGGTAAGACTTCTGATCAATGGCAGCTATTAGTAGTTATGTTTGGGGGATGTCAAAAAATTATAAGCAAATAGTTGGTAGATTTTTGACTGAAATTTGTACAAACAACATATATGGTAATGTTACAAGGCACGGCATAAATATAAGGTTTTAGACTTTCCTTAGATAAAATTGCATGGGAAGAGGGAATAATTATATCTTTTATGTTATGATAACTGATTTTTGGACCAAGGAAACAATGTTAGGAATACCCATGCAAAATTATACAAAGTTGTACATAGAGAAGTGATGAAACAGTATTTAACTATAAGTTAGTGTATTTCTTTTTGTAGAGAAAGTACGCAGAAACTATAGACTCAATAATCCCTTGTAGAGTTACAGAAAGGTGGGACTTGAAGGCATTTTATAGATTAGAATTCAGATAATCTTATTTAATAGATGATAATACCTACATGGCCTTTGGAACTTAAATCACTAAATACCAGTCACAAAACTGAAAAGAGGTAAGGCAAAGAATAGGATTTTTTTATATATATTTAAAAGAGCAGATTTATTATGAAAAAGGAGAGAAGGAAAAGTATACTTGCACAGTTGCAAGTAGGCAGAAAGAGCTGCCCTGAAAGGGACAGATTTGCTAGAAGAGAGATCTGTGTGGTTGCAGGTGGGCAGAATTGGGAGGGAGAGGCCTCTGTTGAGGGAGGTCAGTGAAGAAAAGCCCTGGCATGTTCCAGGTCATGGCCAGGAGGCTGCTGCCCTGCTGAGGGAGAGAGTTGGTGCTGAGAGCTCCTGCATAGTCACAGGTGGGCAGGACTGATGCTAAAATAGGATTTAAACTACTGGTTTCAAAATAATTTTCTTTTCCTACTAAACCCACTGATCTCTACTGATGGAATTTTGTGTACTTGAGAGGACATTGTGCCAGTTGTTATTTGACTTGCTCAGATTGTGTGTAGCTAGATTTATCGTTCTCATTCTTCCATTAATAATCTACATTTATTTGCCTTCTCAAATATTTAAATAACAACCCTGCTCCCCACTGTAATATAATTATAGAGGTTATATAAGAGAAAACCATTTCCTTCTATTTCTCCTTCCAACAAAGTAAATTATGCAGTTAGGGAAGAAGCTAAATTAAACACAAGGTTCACTTTAAGCACACTTATGCAATCTGTAGTTTAAAATCACTTTTAAAATATCTTGTTTAGGGAATATTTGGCTTAATAAAGAAAACTTACTTTATAAAAGTGACCAAGTAGTTTTTGAAATGTTAGGTCTACAAGTCAAACAAGGGCTGGTAGAATTTTTATCCCCATCAATGTAGAATCCATCAGTAATGCAAACATTTTCCTAATGAATTTCTTTTAAAGAAAACAAAAATTTAAAAAAGGTTACATCTATAGATAGTTTTAAGGGGTAAACTGTATTTAGGAAGAAAGTAGCACATATATTGATGATTCCAATGAAATTATACTGCAAATGTTTTGATTAAAAATATTTTCATGTCTCTAATCATAAATGGGTGTTAAAAAACAAATAAGTTATTTTCTTTATGTATTAATGTCTATGGAGCAAATTCATATGTAGGGAATAAGAAATACAGTTCTACTACTGTGCAGAATTATACATATAGCTTATGAATATTATGGGAGAAAAACCCTTCTTGTTTTTTTTTTTTATTTTAACCTCCAAATTCCTGATGGAAATTCTTCATTTATAAAAAAGTGAAAGATGGCCCTCCCTGGTGGCGCAGCGGGTTAAAGCACTGCACTGAGAATCTAAAAGCCGCTTCCGCATGAGTTCGATTCCCGCCTGCCCCGGAGGTGACCACATGGTGTGGCAGACCTCTCCTGACCCACCCGCTGCTCCCCTCAGCAGTGTACTTCATTGATCTGCCTGTTCTGCTCCCCACTCTGTCTCTGGTGAAGCCTCTCACCACCCCTGCTCCTCTGGCCTGTACCCCAGTTCTGTATGTATAAATAAATAAATCTTTAAAAAAAAAAAAAAAGTGAAAGATATTTTCTCTGTACATTATACAAAATCACATCCTTCCCTCCTCTAGGAGTCCACAGTATCTTGTGAACACAGCAAAACTGGATCTATGACATAATGATCCACACAAGACAATGGATTTCACTATACAACAGAGTGGAAAGAGATACTAACATGTACAGAAATAATGTTAAATGTAACAAGCATTTCTAACCTGGAAAGAAGGGAAAGAAGATAAGCTTTTTTCAAGATATATAAACCTTGCTGATTTTTAAAACTCCCTTGGAATATTAGACAGAGTGAGAACAAAATAACCCAAGAGAATAAAACAACTTGTACAGCAAATTTCAAAAGTGCTTATTGTAAAGCATGTGGAAATGGAATATTTAGGGGAGAATAAAAAACAGATATGACCTGATTTCTAATCTCAAAGGAAAATTAATTTTAAGATTAAAAATAGTAGTTATACTTTAATTTCATATACATAAGCATTATTTGACATAATTTTTAAAGCTAACTAATATTAGATCCATGGTATCTGTTAATTGAATAATTGACATGTGAGAGAGCTGTTGATAAACTGCCAGGCTGAGTATAAAGTGAGAAGGTATAGACTTAGCTCAGGCTATGATATTCTGTAATCCCTCACATGATTCGATGAGTCGCAGAATTTCCTTGTGGAAATGCCAGTTTTATACATTTTACACTCTATCCAAATGCATATTACTTACTACAAAGAACAGTATGTAACCATAAGGAAAACCTTACTAGAAAGAACATTATTGAGACTTAAAAATAATATATAGAGGAATGAAAATTCAATTTGAACCTCCTCTTTTGATTTTTGAAAGGAATAAACAACCTTCTACTTCAAAATATTAAAGTTAGAAACTTCTTCTTTGCTATTTCAATGAGTTACAGGCAAAAATAATAATTTCAATTACACTTGTAGAAACTATATTATTTGTAATATGAAAGTAAAAAAATGGGGAATAAAAACATGTAAATGTAACAATGAGTGAAAAGATGCATACCTTTATAGCACAAGAGCCCTTTTCATAGAGACCACAAACCTGACATCCCATCACATAAGATCATTATTTTGAGATCACTGAATTTATACCCATCATTAGATATCTGTAAGATGTAGTTCTATAATATAATTTGTTAAGCAATGTAGCTTCATAAATTATGTAATTTTAATATGTAAGGTTTTTGTTTATAATATGAGGCTATTTGTTCTTTACCTTTAACTGCCACTTTGCAAATGGTTTCTCACCCATTGGAGCCATGGTGTGAGAACACTGAACATCAGTGGGTAGCTGAAAGCAACATCTCCACTATTTTGAAAAACAATGTGGGTATAGACAGGTTTTCCAAGGGCCCACTTATTGCTATTATACTGAAGAAATAGTGAATTATGAAGATAATTTTGTTAGTAAATTATATCTAATCAAAATAGAAATTTGAATATACATGCCATATATACCTATATATATATATGAATATACAAATAAGAAAAATACTGATACCAACTAAGTTTTATTCACAATGAAAAAAGTATAAATATTAACTTATGTAAACCTTCACTCCACTGACAGGAATTTCTTGCAGATTCAAATCAGAAAGGAAACTAGTATTAGCCCGATAGGATGAGTCACTCCATAAAAACTGGAAACACATCTGACTATTGAGTTGACATAGTGTAGATTAATTATCTGCTCTGAAACTTTCTCATTTTTCTTGAAACTACTCCAACCTTCTACTTTATACTAATTTTCTGCACTCCATCAATATGGTTCCCAAGGGACCTCTCAAATTCTTATATGATACACCTCACTGACTACACTCAACTCGTAAGGGTGGCCCTAAAGTACTTGGGATTTATAATTTTGTACTGGAAGGGGTATCAGTCCAGTTGGTGTCTGGAGGTTTGTGTTGCAGACCACAAAGCTATATGGCTGTTGGTGGTCATGTGTTCGCAATGAGGGAAAAAATGAAGCACACAAACAGAAAAGCAGAACTGAGAAGGGCAGATCCACAATCATCTGCAATTCACACATACTGTTTACATGGTGTTGAAAATCCCAAATTCTCATTTTTCTATGAATTCAACTACATTTTTATCCTTGATCCTGAGAGAAATGTATTATTCTCATAATACATATCACTTGTGCTCAAACTAGTTCACTTGAAGCTAATTAACTAGTTTTAACCAAATTAGTCAATTCAGTCTTTTTAATAACTGAAAAGCATATCATGCTTAACCTATATTTTAAGTAATATTTTTCAGTATTAAAACGCATTGGTGCGTAAAGGGGAAAAGCCAGAATAATTTTCAGGTTCCTGGTAACTACATAAAAAACAGGAAGTTTAGACTTAGATAGGTTTTTTCTTTATGACTATAGAATACATTCAGTAGTTCAGAAATGGTCTGGATCAGCTTAAGCTTCGATATGGTGGGTGAGCAGGAAAAGGGAAGGAAGGCAATAGCATGATAGGCTGTGGCTAATGGGAAATACTTGTCAAAGGTTTGATGATTGAAAGAGTGGTGGGAATGCAAATCTCCATGCAAAAGGGAGTGTGTGCAGGCTGGCCTAGAAGATTTATCGGAGGCTACCCTGTAGTAGAGGGAGATTGAAAACAATTCCCAGTAGTCATGCTATCAACACTTAGATGGATATAGGGTTTTTCGGATTTGTGTAGTGAAACAAGATTCTAGCCAATGACTGGAGATATACGGGTTATTTTCCTCCCACTGTTTTTAATGAGGAATAAGCAGGTTTCTATTTCTTGTTCATTTATACATATTTTGTGGATATCTATTATATGCTGAGGAAATTCTGTGAAAAGAGATCAGATCAATAATAGCATATAATTTTATTATTGCAATAATCGTGATTCAAAAGTAGTGTAATGAGCAAGAAAAAGCCACTAAGTCTAATGAGCACAGTCAAGCAAGGCTTTAGAAAAGATGAAACTTTCTGGAAGTAAAAAAAAAGAAGGGTGTCATTTGGACACAGAGAGCAGAAAAGAAGACAGTGCAATTCCCCACCGCTAGAGATGTGAAAAGACAGGGATGCATGAAACTACAAGGGATTTTATAGTTCAAGTCCGCAAATGCAGAAAATAGCAGATCATGAACGGTCATTCATTTCTAGGATAATACGTTTGATTTAATCCTATAAGTAAGTAATTTAAAAATTGGATTTTGTAGAGTCCGGGCTGTTTTCAGAAAGAAAGTGAAGAAAATAGTGGGTAGCTGGATCTCGAGCTAAAAACTTGTTTAAAATTATTACTGCAAAGGTTGAAAGGGGCAGTTGTAATATATTCTTTCCAGTTAAACAGAAAGGCTGTTTCTGCTCCTTTGTGCAAAAGAAATAGAGCAAAGATGAATAAGAAAATAGTGAGAATGGATACTTTAAGCGATGGTTGGGAATGGGATGGATAGGGGGAATGGAACGAGAGTGCTAGAGATGAGAAGTAAGTGACATTTTTGTGCATATATTTTGTATGGTGCTAAATCATAGAAACATGAAATATTTTGCATACTTCCAAAAAAAATAAATAACTGAAGCCATGCAAAGGGAATTCAAAGTGGAATAAAATATTTAAAAATAAACGTAGGTCCTTCCTGGTGGCGCAGCAGGTTAAAACACAGCACTAAGAAGCTTAAGCCTCTTCCGCATGAGTTCGATTCCCGCCTGCCCCGGAAGTGACCACATGGCGCGGCAGACCTCTTCTGACCCGCCCGCTGCTCCCCTCAGCAGTGTACTTCGTCGATCTGCCTGTTTTCTGGACTATAAAGGAAATACACAAAGACTAGGGAAAAAATAGCTAATCTAAGTAAGTTTGGGTTTGACTAGTGAACATATTTATTTTTTTGGTAGTTTAGCATGGTGTGTTAGAAAATTCCAGAGTTCTCTATTTGTTAGATATTTAGAAAAGGCAGGTAGAATGAGAATACATATAACATAACAAATAAAATGCACTTTCTTTTATTCTTTTTCTTTTTTTTTAAAGATTTATTTATTTGTGCATACATAATTGGGGTACAGGCCAGA